TAGACTTCTAGCATTTCACTGGATTTCTAGAATTTAGAGTAGGCTGAGGTGTATGGATTGCAGAATGAATTAACTTGCTGTTATTAGAGTTCCAGTAATTTATACTGCTCACCCTGCTTGTTCAAATCAGAGCTGGTTGTCACATTTCTCTTTTTCATCTCTAAATGAGCGTAAACAGGAATCAATCTGCTAACTCCAAATATGCTACTTGGGCATGAGAATTATAAAATGTTCTCTACCCTTCTCTTATATGCCTAAAAGTAGGACATAGTTAATTTGACTAGAGACAGACAGAGAGAACAAGGAGAAGTGAGAAAATAAGCCGCCAGGTCCAGGACTCGAACTGCCATTGGCCATGTGGGAGTCTAGCACCTTAATCACCATGCTACCTGCTGGCTCCTCCTACTGATATTTTGTAGCAGATTAATTATTTTTTTTTTTTTTTTTTTTTTTTTTTTGTTTGTTTGGAAAAAGATTTAAATGGCTTCTAAAGGAAAAAAAAAATGAACCACAAGTGTATAAATTTATTGAACCAAAAAATTACTAGATTTGTGTCACAGGTTATGTCTCATTACTTCTGGTTTCATGTATTTGCCTTGTTTTTAACGTCTACTCTAACAAGTAAAGAAACCGAATTGACTCATCATCCAGTTCCCTTTGTTTCTTCCCACCAAGAAAATATTAGTGTCTACACATGCATTCAGGTGATGTGTGATGTTGTTTTTCTAATACATTTAAACATATTGTCAAGTTTTTACTTTCTTTCCTGAAAACATCATATACTGAAGAAATGTAAGTATTTACTTCCATAATTATAAGTAATAATAAAAATCTTGAGCCAGCCAGTGGTGTGATAATTAAAGTGGCTGGATCCTACATGGCCGACTGCATAGTTTGATTCCTAGACCTGGCTTAAAAAACATGTTGTGGGGGGAACCAGCAGTTAGCGTAATGGCTATGTTGCTGGACTCCCACGTAGTCGATTGCGGTTTGCGTCCTGGACCCGGTGGCTTAGAACTCACGCCGGGCACGTGTGCGTGTGTGCCCAAGATCCGGAGAGGAGAATGGAGGAGAATGGAGAAGGGATTGCGGCGTGACCATCCCCCCTGGGGGGTGATTTCTTGCTTTCTGTCTCCATGTCTCTCTCTGTCTGTCTGGCAAGCGCACGTGCCCTATAGTGAAAATCTCTCAAAAAAAAAAAAAACATGTTGGGGGTGGGAGGAGCAGCAGATGGCACAGTGGTTATATAACTGGACTCTCACATAACTGACTGCGGTCTGAGTCTGGACCTAGGGACGTGAAAATCATATCAGGAGTGTGTATGTGCATACCCTAGATCCTGAGAGGAGAACGGATTGCAGCATAGCCATCCCCTTTAGGGAGTGATTTTTCACTTTCCCTCTCACTGTCTGTATTTCTCTCTCCAGAGAACACATGTGCCCTATGGCAAAAACATCTAAAACACACACACACACACACACACACATACATTGAGTCCATGTGTAGAGTGCCCAAAATTCCAAGAGGAAAATGGAGAAGAGATTGTGGCATGATCATTCCCTGTGGGGGGGTGCTTCTTATTTTTCCTTTCTGTCTCTCCAGTGAGTGTACATGCCCTCTAGCAAAACCAAACAAGCAAAAAAAAAAAAAAAAAAGCAAACTTTAGTTTGTTTTGTTTTGTATTTATTATGTTATTAGTTGTAAATTTAGCAACCAGAAAAATTTGAGTGACAAGTTACTTCTTGTGTTTTTTTTAGTGTTTGATGTATTTTTCAAAAATTTTATTTATTTAACTTTATTTAGTTATTTATTTTAATTTGACGAGAAAGAGAGAGAAAAAGCAAGAATACAAGCCACCAGGTCCGGGACTCAAACCATAGTCGGCCGTGTGGGAGACCAGCGCCTTAACCACTAAGCCACCTACTGGCCCCACTATATGAGTTTTTAGCAGGGTGAGTTTTAGAGTATTTATTATTTTTTTGTAGTTATTGCCAGACAATTTACAGTTTACATGCGTTAAGAGATTTCTTACACAGGCTGGCAGGTGGCATGGTGGTTAAGGGCACTGGACTCCCACATGGCCCACTGTAATTTAAGTCCCAGACCTTGTGGCTTGCTTTCTCACTTTCTCTCGCTCTCTTATCAAATTAATATAAATAAATAAATAAATAAAGTTAAATAAAGTAATTTTTTAAAATTTCCTAAGTTGATTAATTCTGTAGAGATTTTTGCCATAGGGCATGTGCACTCACAGTGAGAAACAGATACAGTGAGGGAAAGTGAGAATTTACCTCATAGGAGGGATGACCATGCCGCAGTCCCTTTTTCTCCATTCTCCTCCCGTGATCTTGAGCACTCACACACACATACAACTGGCATGAGTTTCAAGCCACTGGACCTAGGACTTGAACTGCCCTTGGCCATGTGGGAGTCCAGCAATATAACCACTAATCCATCTGTAGCCCCTTAATGTAGTATGTTTTAATTGGACTCTTCCTAAGTCTTCTGTAGTCTATATTTTCAAAAGAACTTATTATGAAATATAAAATATAAGTAAGGTCAAGAAATAGAATATTGTCAGCATCTCAAAAGCCCCCACATGCCACTTCTCAATCACTGTTTCCCTCTCTCCTCCAAATGTAACTACTGTCTTAACTCTTGTAATAATAAGTTTCTTGCTTTCTTTATACTTTTATCATTCAGTCATGTATCCCCAAACATAGTTTTACTTGCTTTAAAAAAGTTAGGTAGGGGCCAGGAGCTGGTATGGTGGTTAAGGAGTTGGACTCCCACATGCTCTGTTGCAGTTTAAGTCCTGGACCTGGTGGCTTGCTTTCTCACCTTTTCTCTCTCACTCTGTCCCTCTCTGGTCAAATTAAAATAAATGAATAAAAATAAATAAAGTTAAATAAAATAATTCTTTTTAAAAAGTTATGTAAATGGATTAGAATGATACATGTTCTTTTGTATTTGTGAGTCAGGATTATATGCAAGCAAAAAAACCAGCAACAACAAGAAAACATGTGCTGCTCTACCCCCCACACACACACACAAATCAAAATTATATGCAGACAGATTCCAAAAACAATTTCCTGGGGAAAGTGCAATAGGAAAAACAGTAAAGAGACTTAGGAGTTAAAGATGTATGTTTTACTTGTGGCTTTGCCTCCGACCAGCAAAGATAACCTCAAATTATCACTTGAATTCTTAGGATCTCCATTTTCTTCTATAAACATGAGAGAGTGGGTTAAAGTGATCATTAGGATTCTTTCAGCTTTAAAATGAATGAAACTAAATAAATATTGTACTAAGATAGCCTTCATTTCTTTCATTTTTGTTTTCATCAGGTTGTCTTGGAGATACCCAGTTTTGTTTTAGATTTCGACAGTCTTCCGGGAGGAGGGTATCACTGCATTGTCTCCTGGATCAATTTGAGAAAGATTTACCAGTTTACTTAAAGGTTGGAAAACTAGTCATAGAAAAATGTCTATGTGAGAAGAAACTGTAAAACTCATTTATTCAATGACCTCTGATAGCATTCAGGAGTATTTTGCTTTGTTTTGTTACTATATTATATAGCCTCACTTTCTCAGTGAATCTAATTTAGAAGAATTTAGCCTGTGAATGAAAAAGTTTATAAAGTTCCTGTTGCTGAAACATTGTGATGCCATTTTGAATTATAGAAATGGATTAGAGTGTTGAGGCTATTTCATTTCATTGCTTAATAATTCTTGTTTAGATGTGGGAGCAGTAAACAGTAAATATCATCCAGTGTTGAGTAGTCATTCTCTATGGTAGTTCCTTTGTACTGTCAGATACCGTCTACTGTCATGTGTCGCTTAATGGCAGAAAAATTTGATAACAAATGTGTCAGTAGGTGGTTTTTATCATCATGGGAACAACATAGGGTGTACTTACACAAACCTAGGTGGTAGAGTCTTCTACACACCGAGGCTCTATGGTCTGGCCTGTTATGTTATGAAACACTGTCACATAGGAGGTCTGTTGTTGACCAAAGTATTATTACGTGGTGCATGGCTATAGTTGTCTCTTGGATTTTTAAAAATGAGACCTATTTTACAATTGCTATTTTTGAAACAATTTAAATAATTTGAATGATTTCAGCTCAATGTCCTGCCAGCACATCCTATACAAACTTGAGATCATTTCTCTGAAACCAGCTTTTATAGTTTATCTCCTTGGGTCCACCAGTGGCAGGAATTCTCTCTTAGTAGAGACACCGCCTTTGAAATTGATGAAACTGGATAAAGAGCCTTCTACTCCTTCCATGATCTGTTGCTACCACATGAACATGCTCTTCCAATTGATGATAATAATAGCTGTTACCTATTAGAACTTGTTATTTTCTAGGCACTGTATTAATAAACGTGTATCATCTTAGTAATTCTCTCTACAGTGCTCTGAAAGAGTTCCTTTTGCAGGTGAGAGAATTACTAATGAGCATAAGAACATTTCCCAAGGACATCTCACTTGTTTTGTTTTTAGATTTTTGTTATAGAATGTGTGTGCTTGCAGGAGGTAGACAGGCAAAGTGAGAAATCACATCCCAGGTGCAATGGCCATGCCGCAATCCCTTTTCCTCCACTCTCCTCTTGGGATTTTGGACACAGACACACATGCGCCCACCATGTTTTTCAAGCCACTGGGTCCAGGACTCAGCCCAGGGAGTAAGCCATGTGGGATCCATTGCCTTAACCAGAATGCCATCTGCTGTCCCTTCATCTGTTTTTTGTTTGTTTGTTTGTTTTTTGTTGTTTTTTTGTTTGTTTGTTTTGTGTTTAGATTTTTTTGTAATAGGGTGCATATGCTTGCCAGAGAGAAGGAGGGAAGGAAGGTGAAAAATCACCCCCCAAGAGAGGTGGCCATGCTATAATCCCTTCTCTTCCATTCTCCTCTCAGGATTTTGGGCATACATGCACACATGCTTGGCATGTTTTTCCGGCCTCCCGGTCTGGGACTTAAACAGGACTTAAACCAAGGAATTGGACATGTGGGATCCATTGCTTTAATCACTATACCACCTGCTGACCCACTCACTTGTATTTTGTTTTTGTTTTTGTTTTTGTTTTTGAGAGGTTTTGGCTTTAGGGTATGTGCACTCACCAGAGAGATACAGAGAGACATAAAGCAAGATGTTGCCCCTCAGGGGGAATGGCTGGGCCACAGTCCCTTCTCCTCTGTTCTCCCCTTGGAATTTTGGACATGCACATACACATGCCTGGCATAAGTTTCAAGCCACTGGGTCTGGGACTTGAACTGTGGTTGACCATGTGGAAGTTTAGCACCTTAACCGCTGTGCCACATGGTAGCCCCTCACCTGTTTTTTTATTTTTTTTTAATCATAACTTATCTTACACAGTGTTGCCAGCCAAAATGTACCTATGTAGTATAAAACTAATTAAAATATAAAATGACTACTAGTTGCTTAGTGAGTAAAGAGCTAATGTCAGTACTATTTCCTCATGTTCCCTTTTGGGACCTTCTAAAATAAGACTCTTTACCTTTCCAATTTTCACCCTCACCTCCCTTTTATATTGGCTCCATATTTTAGCCAAACTGATCTGAGGGTTTTTTTTTTCTTTCTTTTTTTAAAATTTTAATTTGCTAGATGGCACATGTGCTCATTAGAGACAGAGAATGGTGAGAAGTCACCCTACAGGTGAATGGCCACACCATAATCCCTTCTCTACCATTCTTCTCTTGGAATTTTGGGCACACACACCTATAGGCCCAGTGTGTTTTTCAAGCTGCTGGCTCGGGACTCACACTTCACAGTCAATAACGTGGGATGTAGTCACCTTAACCACCGTACCACCTGTCCCTTACAGCTTGTGTTTTTTCATCTGTGCTTTTACTCAAACTCTGGGCCCTCTAAACCTGGAATGTCTTTGTTTAAATAATATCCATTCTTCAATGCCCAGTTCAAAACATCTCCCTCGGCCTTCCTGTAACATTCTGTGTTTTCTTTACCGTACCCACCCTCCTTTTATATAACGGTCGGTTTTTTATTTTTCATATCCCTCCTTGATTGTGATCTCCCTAAGAACTTGGTCATATGCATCTTTTTATTTTCTCTAACACAATACTTTGTTCCAAGTAGGTGGTCAGTAAATGTTTGTTGAAGGAATAGCAGTCAACTAAGGAACTCAGCCAACGTTTATTCCATTGAGATGTAAAATCTTAAGCTTTTTCGAATGTAATATCTTTCAGTGTACCCTGATGAACATTCTGTTTCATTATTATTAAGTTAAAATGTAACTGACTTCCCAAAATGGCATTTAACGCCTTTTATTTTCTCCCTGGAAAGTTTATATTAGAACATCTTATTCTGTTAAAAGACTGACCTCCAAAAGACTGACCCCCTCAGCCTTGACAAATTCAGTAGTATAGGCAGAATTTAAAAAAAAAAAATTGAGGAAAACAGAATTTGATTGTTTCTTAATTTCGATTGACTAGTATAGATATGAATAAAGAACATAAGCTGAGTAAGTTCTGGGGGAAATAGGAATTTTTTTAGTACTTAGATGATAATGATCTCATTTTTGAGCCGCTTAGCAGGTTTTTATCTGACAGTTGTTTCTGTTTGTTGGTGGAAAAGCGTAACTCATTCTTTAGACACCTTACATCTTGTTGTGGGTTTGTAAAGGAACCTGATGTTGATATTGAAAGGATGGCGATGTATGCATATTTTTATTTGTCACTTCTTTCATAGAAGGATCCTGCTTATTTTTATGGATATGTGTATTTCCGACAAGTTCGAGACAAAACTCTAAAAAGAGGCTACTTTCAGAAGGTAATTTTCATATACATTAATAAAATTTTTTATTTTTTCATGCCAGAGGTTGTGACATACATGAGAAAGAGAGAGAGAAAGCACCCCCTTCCCCAGTGAGGTCTGATCATTGCAAATCCTTCTTCCTCTATTTCTTCATCTTGTCGGGACCCTGGTGTGTGCATGCACATACGCCTGTCATGGTTTTCAAGCTAATGGGGCAGAACTTGAGCCCTGTTAAGCCACGTGGGTTTTTGGCTTCCCCTATATAGCGCTTAACTGTCATGCTAGGGACTTGACCAAAGAAAGTATGTTTTTGTGATTAGAAAAATAGAAACTGTTTAGGTTTAAGTCTTCAGAGTCTTTGGTATGGTATTTTTATCTTTGAACATAATAGAGTTTCTATTTTATCCTTTTTTGTTTTAGATTTTAGACACCTGTTCCTAGATTTTTTTTTTCCTCTTTTTTTTTTGAGATATAGGAAGTCGGGGGGAGAGAAAGACAGGCACTCTCCAAAGGGTCACATGCCTCAGTCATCTCTCCAGTCCTCCTACGCCAGCTAGAATCATGGCATGAGCATGCCAGTGTTGCACAGGTCACCTTCAGACTGAACCGAGCCCGTTGTCCACATGGTATCTCGCATTGTAGGTCAGCACACCATTGTTTCATTACTACGTCTGGACCTTGATGTAGTTTTATTTATTTTTTTTTAAGAGAGATTTCTTTTTCGTTATTTTTAAACTAATTATTTATTTTATTTATTATCATTATTATTTTTAATTTGACCAGAGATAGAGAAAGAGAGAGGGAGAGAGAGAAAGTGAGAAAGTAAGCCACCAGATCTGGGACTTGAACCACAGTCTGCCACATGGGAGTCCAGTGCCCTTAACCACCATGCCACCTGCTGGCCCCCCCCTTTTTTTGAAAGAGAGATTTTCATTATAGGGCGTGTGTGCTTGCCAGAGAGACAGAGAGAGAGAGAATGTGAGATCACCCCCAGGGGATGGCCATGCTGCAGTCCCTTCTCCTCCATTCTCCTCTTGGTATCTTGGTCACACACACATACATGCCAAGGTGTGAGTTTTAATCCTCCAGGTTAGGGACTTGAACCACGGTCACCTACATGGGAGTCCAGCAACATAACCGTTATGCCACCGGCTGGTCCCCCTGTACCTAGTTTTTATTTTTATTTTTTTATTTTTTATTTTGAGAGGTTTTTTCACTATAGGGCACATGTGCTCGCCAGACAGACAGAGACATAGAGATAGAAAGCAAGAAATCACCCCCCAGGGGGGATGGCCACGCCGCAATCCCTTCTTCTCCATTCTCTCGGGATCTTGGGCATGCACGCGCACGCACCCGGCGTGAGCTTTAAGCCACCGGGTCCGGGACACGAACTGCAGTCAACTATGTGGGAGTCCAGCGACATAGCCAATACGCTAACTGCTGGTTCCCCCCTAGTTTTTATTTTGAAAGATGGTAAGGGGGATTTTTTTCAAGGGGGGCCGTGGTAACAGGTGCAATCTTTCAGTAAGGGAGAGAGGTTGAACTCAATTCCCTGTCCCTAGATTTTTAACTGGTATTGAAAATTTGCTATTATGGAACTCTTTGAGAAGTCAGAAGAGTCTGCATTTTATGTTTTAGAATAAGGGAAAAAGTAAATAGTAATATTATTACAACTAATAAAAACTTGCAATATCTTTTTTTTTTGAAGAGCCAGTAAATAAACTTTAACAATTATAACTTTAACAATAAATAACTAAAGTTATACTTTAGTTATTATGCTTTCCATTCTAAATGTACAGTCTTTTCCTTTCTTAAAAAAATATCAATTGGTCTATTTAATCCCAGTTTTTAGGACACATCTTTCTTTTTGTAACTACAATTTGCCCTGACCACTAATTGATACTGGATAGAAAGGTAGAGTGATTTTCAAGAAAAAAAATATACATTAAAGAAAAAAATCAGCATAATCTATATCTGATGTAATCTAACTATGAAGTCATAGCTTCTAAGTATGTGGCTCTGGAAATGGAACCGTAAGAATTTAACAATCATGAGTCTTTAGCAAAAGCATCATAATTTGCTCTTTTCTTTGTAAAAGAAAATTTATATGACTAATTCCTAATATTTCTGTAGATAGCAGTAGCTGAGCTTTGGAAATAATCCATGATGTCTGTTTAAAGGAAGTTGTTTTTCCTGAAGAGCAGGAAAAGCTGAATATGCCTTTATACTCTGAAAATGTAGTAATAAGGTTAAACATTTTGTGTCCTGCAGCAGTGGTTTTATGTTTCTTTTTAACCATACACTGTAAGAAAAAGAAAAAAAAAAAGCTTTTGTATTTAAAAATCTACACTTATTGCTGAGTGTTGCTTGTTAATAATTGCTCATGCAAGAAGTAAATGACAAAGCTAAATTATAATCATTAGGCAATTAAAATATTGTTTCTTTTTTTCTCCCAGTCATTGGTTTTGATCAGCAAACTACCCTATATTCATTTTTTTCACACTGTGCTCAAACAGATAGCACCAGAGTATTTTGAAAAGAGTGAACCTTATTTGGAAGCAGGTAAGTTACACATTGTATAGATTATACCTTTATGAAGGAGTTTTTAAAATTTTAATGTAAATGAGTGATAAAAATGAAATTTTCCTTCTAAAAATATATTGGGTTGTTGGAAAAGTCAGGCCATATATTTCTGTTTTTCTATGCAAAAATGCAGCAGATTTTTCTGACAGCTCAATAGATAAGAATATAAGGTCTGTGTGATGAGAGAGAGATAATAAACTATTTGTCTGGCATCATTTTTTACTAATAATTTAATTTTATTATCATTATTTTTCAATTTTGACCCGAGAGAGACAGAGAGAGAACAAGCTACCAGGTCCAGGACTCGAACTGCATTCGCCCATGTGGGAGTCCAGCACCTTTAACCACCAAATTACCTGACAGCCCCTTGTCTGGCATCTTTACCTACAAACACCAAAAACTATTTCTTCTGTTAACTTCTCTAATAATATGATTCCTGTTTATTAGGATAATAATCAATTTGAGTTGGCAGTACTGATACTTAGTAATCATTGAACAGAAATTCTTAGTTATTTGGTACAAGTGGAAGGCCTCTGCCAGGTCGACTGAATGATAAAACTCCCTTTGAAGCTATCGATTTCAAAAATTTATTAACTAATTTATATCCTAGATTGTAAGTGTATTTCTGAGTGAAATGTAAGATATCTTCATCAGTATTACTTTTCTTTTACCTCTTATTTTTTGTTCTTCCCAGTATATTTTTCTTTCTTTACTTAGAGTTCTAATTGCTAAGGCCCCACTTTTCACACTTTAACATTTCCACGTATACTAGAGAAATATTTTGTTTTATTTTTCAGCTTGTAATGATGTTGATCGATGGCCTGCCCCAGTGCCAGGGAAAACATTATACCTACCTATCATGGGGGTGGTAATGAAGGTAATAGCTTCTGTCTCATTTGCCTCCTTATTTTAAAAAACTTTGTAGGAAGTTCACATGTGTGTTTTGGTTTTTAACTTCTTTTTTTTCCTTTTTATTTATTTATTTAGGTTTTTGCCATCAGGCATATGCACTTGCTGGAGAGAGACAGTAAGAGGGAAAGTGAGAAATCATTCCCCCTTCCCTCTGAAGGCTTTGGCCATGCCACAGTCCCTTCCCCTCCATTCTCATCCTGGAATTTTGGGCATGCATGCACACATGCCTGGTGTGATTTCCAAGCCGCCAGGTCTAGGACATAAACTGCAGTCAGCCATGTGGGAGTCCAGCACCCCAGTCACCATATCACCTGCTGGCTCTGCTCTTTAGCTTCTTAATAAAATTTAGTGGTGTTATTACTGTCACATGTTTGTTGTTGATGGGAGGTGTTATAGAGATACCATAGTTCATCCTGTTTTCCAGAACCATTCGTCAGACAACTCCAGGCATCTGTAGAGTTTGCACAGGAGTGTCATTTGTATCCAAAACATGTTGCTAAGTAAAAATTCTAGAAGGCCATTGTCCCAAAGATCAGCCTAAAGTGGAGTCACTCATGCTTACATGTCACATCATCAAACTAAAACTTCAGGAAGCTGATAGATCCCAAATAGACCAGTGCCTTCAGAGATGGGGTGGTATGCAGGAACTGATCATTTGTTGATCTGAATATGATTTATCAAAAATAAAGAGAAAGTAGGGAAGTAGTTCTTGGTCCTAAATGTTCTTAATATCTACTGTCAGAATAAACGTGTTCATCCCAGAGTGTTGTGCTCTCCTGAGTTGTTTTTTTCTGTGAATAAATTAGCATTTTGCTCTGAGAGTCTGAGTGTGCTCTAAGTGCTTTACAGTTCGCTATCAAATTGGACTTACTTTTGACAATATTCTGTCTTTAAATGTACTCATTTTTTTGTAGGGTATGTATTTATTTTCCCCAGGAAATCATCAAAAGTAGTACCTATAGCTCTGGGTTAAGAGTTCTCATGGTTTCCTGTGAAATTTATCCAAAAGTTTGGCAAGCTTGAGAGGGTGTGTTTGGGTGTGTGTATATTAATGAAGCACAGATTAGAACAGTGAACGGGAATCAGTGTGAGGTTGATGTCCTTCCTGTTTTCAGCTCATTTGCTTCTCAGTGGACTAGTGATTTATATGTGTTTGGGTTATGAAAACCTTGATTCACCTTCTTCTGTAACAAAAAAAGAAAAAATGACTAGTTTTTCAATCTGACATAGATACTGTGTTTTTGTAGTTTTGTAGGCATTTTTAGCATATGTTTATAGCAACAGTAGTACTTCTGGTTTTGTTTTGTTTTGTTTTAAGAGACTTTTGCTATATGGCATGTGGGAGAGACAGAGACATTGTGGGGGGTGACCACGCCACAGTCCGTTCTCCTCCATTCTCCTCTTGGAATTTTGGGCACGCATGCACGTGTGCCTGGCATGAGTTTTTAAGTTGCTGGGTCCGGGACTCAAATCATGGCCGAGTACATGGGAGTCCAGCGACATAACCATTACACCATCTGCTGGTCCCCTCCATACGTCTATTTTCTGTCTTTAAATCTTTGTTTGTTTGTTTTTAAT